GCATTTAAAGTTTTTCATATTAAAGTTGGCTGAGAATGAGGTGGAAGAGAGTTCCACATACGAGAAATGCTAGAAAAGTAAGTGTTATCATAAAATTTACGGTTCCATCTAGCCAGCCCAACTGTAAAATGATGACATCTCGACGCCAGTCTAGTACTGCGCTTAAATTTAAAAAAAGTCTAGATACCATAGCGAAGAGCTTATCCGAATAATCACCATGAAAATATCTATAGAAAAGACACAGAGGGAAACTTAGGGCGGTGGAAAAGTGACAAATTCTTAATTGGGAGGCTAAAAATATCAGGCGTCACGAAAAAAATTACAGAGAAAATATACAGCAAAAACACCAGACCACATATGACAGCAATATTCAATGCACGGACAAATGGTAGATTTACAGACGACACAGTGAACGAACATTTTCAGCAGTAGACGCAGTAATAGATTCAATATAGATGTCTGAACTCCTAATTATTATGCTATCAAATTCACGAATCATCATGGCTCTTGTTCCGCGAGATCATCTTTTTTAATATTAATACCATGTATTTGGCTGGATCAGGAGGTCACAACAGGAAGAGGGATAATCATTTCAACTTAGATCTAAAGAGATCAATTAAAAAAAAATCGAAGTCAGTTCATAAGATGTTTGGCACGTCCTTCACCTATGATGGTTCAAAGAGCACTGAAAAAAGACTTGAAAATGAAATTGTACGTGTTACTTCAAGACAGAAAATTAAAAGTAATATATATAGCGGGTGTAACGATAAAATTGTCCAGTTGTTAGATTAAGCTATAGAAGCGTTAGAAATGATTAAAGCTATCTTAATGGAATTTTCAGAGGGTTTTATAACGCTATTGGACTCTACAATGAACATTAAGAATTTATAATTACTCTCCAATTTTAACAGAAGAATCGTGATGAATCGATCATAAACGAAAATAACATGTTCATCAATAATTACTCATAGCCAAGGACCGGAGCTCATGAAAGATTGAAATAAAGTTCATATATATATATATATATATATATATATATATATATATATATATATTCCAGGATCATTTCCCAACTTGTTCAAGATGATCTTCGCCCTCTCTAACTTTTTAATTTTCTGTCTCCCAGCTATGAGTTTCTTAATTCTCAAGTCTTTGTTGACAACCAGTTTAGTTGAAGGACAACAATGAAGTAAGAATTTCGTGCGACTCAGCTGGTGAACATTCTTGAACTGTAACTAATGTATAAACTCTGTCGGTGTTGAATAAATACGAATGAACCTAAGCAGATGGGCATATTGTAAAACGAGAAATCGCAGGTTTTCATGCAAAATCATATTTGATGATGAATAATTGCTATAATCCCTTTCTTAATTTTAAAATTATACTTTTATCATTCGGAATGAATCTTAAAGTAACAATTCGAAATAAAAAATATTACTACAAATGTATATATGTTTAGTGAGGACAGGCGTTTGAGGAGACAACCGTGATATTTTAGACAGTGGAATTTCAATGGGCCTAGAGATCGAGACGTCCTACGCAAGAAAATGTGCTGCCCGATAGAAATTGAAACTTTTCCATCAAAGAAAACACTTTTTAAAAACCTAAAGTGTGCCCTACAATTAGGCCACATGAAACTATCGCAATAAATCAATGTTCAGTTACCATCATCATAAATGCATATCTCTCGTTAGGATCTTTCAAAATCTATATCTGCTAGATACATTTTCGTACCTGAAACGCAAACAAAGCAATCTTAATTGAATTTTTTTTAAAAATCCGTCCTTATTTGCCGTGGCTACAAACAGAGGTTATACGTGTTTGAGTTGGCTTCTTTAAACAGTGAAAATAATATCAACTGGCTTAGAGGTCGATAGGCCCCTAAAGAAAACATGCTTTCCGATAAAAATCGAACCTCTATTCTTTTTTTCTATAATAGAAAACCCTTTTTTAAACCTAAGTGTGTCCCATACTATGGAAATATTATGGGGCAGCGGAATTTAGAAGCTAGAAATATTCAATAAACTACTGAAACAAATAAATAAAAACCTTTTCAACTAAAATAAAATGTGAACCAATTGCTGTGAGCTCCTTTAGGGTCATTATTATTAGTAAATAAATATAAAAATATAAAATAATAATAATAATAATAATAATAATAATAATAATAATAATAATAAATATCATAAATAAAATAAAACAAATAACATTAAAACTTTGTTTAAAATAAAATAAATAAAACCGAAATAATAAAAGTTCTCCCAGCATGCAACGGAAAACTTTCATAAGTTGAAGTAACCTTCTTCCTCTATTACATGCAACCTTGCAACACACAACTAAAATACACACATACCTGTGTACAAAAATAAATAAAAGTATATGATTTTAATTTACAATTTAACATGCTTTTAGTGTTATTTCTTTGTATGTTTTTATTCCTCTGAACGCGAGGCTATTCCTGGTGGTATGGTGTATGTGACCCCATTTATTTAAAATCACGCAGAGAATGACAAAGGGAAGTGACAACAATGGAATATTGAACTGGGTTATCAAAGTAGACGTATTTACAAAACAATCCGACTGTTGTTTTGACTAACATGTTAACTGATGAGAGGTATGAACTTGAGGGACGATCAGAACGATGAAAAACATTTTCTAGATTTCGATGACATAACGCTATTTAAAAAGAGACTTCTTCTTTCGTTATCATATTAAAACGAACAGGTGGAGATGATTGAAAAGGAAACCGCTCGCTTTTGGACCATGTGATTAGGTGAGCCGATTAGATTAAATGAGGATCAAGTTATAATATGAAGTTCTCCGTATATTCAGGTGCGCGGTCATGTTAAAGGCAGTTGTGGAGAATGAGATCAGTTTCTACTGTGGCACCATTTACGAGGCAGAGAAAGGAAGAGAAAGAAAAGAAGGCAGAAAGAAAGGCGAGACGAATCGTAGGTGATAAGCATCCACACACACGGCTAAGAGACAATGAAAATTGATAAGTAACAAATGAAAAAGGGTGTCATTACAATGACAGGGAATTTCTGAGTAAAAAAGAAAGGAAAAGAAAGAAGGAACCAGATGTGTTTTGATAACGGCTGTGTTATCTAGGCTGGACTACTGGCCAGGGAAAAATTCAAGTGAAAATGCTATTTCGATAAGTGACGAGAAACAGGCCACTAAAAAGGACTTAGGACAGATATGAAAAATTAAATCCCACACAAGCAGTCTCGCTGACCGAATTCTTTTCGACGAAACAACTTTGGCCTGCGATAATAAAATTATGTTATCAGGAATATGTACCGAAGGAAAATGAATGGGGACCCAGAAGTGTTTTTCTTTCTTGCTTGGAGGCGACAGACTGACTGAAAACTTTGGGGATATTTCTTTTTTGAAGCCATGTTAAGAATACCACCCATCTTGATAAATTAGCGATAAAATACCTGACAAACACCACGTGTAAAAAAAGAGTTGTCATATTGTCCGTTGCGACTAAAAGGGAAAGAGAAGAGATAATTTTTTTTTAGTTAAGCAAGATTTTTTTTTTCCCGAAACAAAGCAATGGATTGTTCCCGCCCGACTAAGACATCATTGGTCAAGTGGTGATCACGTGACGCACGAAGGAGGAGGAAAGATACCCGACCAAGACCTCACTGGCCGAGAGTGATCACGTGACGCACGAAGAAGGCTGTCGACACCCCATCCAGAGTATAAGTATGAGAAGCTGCTACGAAGAAGTGGGGAGGGAAGTTCACGCCCCTCAGAGGTATGGTGAGAAAGTGGGAGTGAGGAAGGGTTCCCAAAAATGGAAAAGAGTGGAAAATCTCTAACTAGAAATAAAAGAGGTGGATATGTATTTAGAATTATCGAGGAACCCTCCGACGCCAACAGAACCACCCCGGTTTTGGTCGGCGTCAATAAAAGCGAGGCCCCAACAGGCAGAAATCAGTTCGGGCTCGAGTTTCCAGAGTTGAGTTCCCAGAGTCAGTCTCCAGTTGAAACCGCCTCGGAGATAGCTGACCAAGATTCACGCAAAATTCCGGACGCCTCTTCAACCCAAAAGCAATTATTTTGAAGAGCGACTTAGAACCAGACCACCGAAATAAGTTTTTTCGACTTTCGTCCAAAGACACACCGAAACACCAATTTCTTAGAGAGCAGACAACTTGAAGCGTTAAAACTTGCCTAGCGGAAACGACGTGTCACAATCCACAGAACTAGTCGGGAGATAGATGCAGTCCTATGTATCGAACAACTAGACATAAAGTTTGTTACCTTTTCTTTGATACTTTGAACTTTTTGAGTTCTCATTTTCTTTTCTTTTATGCATATTTGTGTAGTATCACCCCCGTTGAACTCAATTTGCATTACGGCCCCAACCACTGTTTGATCTCGTCTGTCTAAGATCAATTCACAACGTGGGTAGGCAGACTGAAGATCAATGCAGTTACCTTGGTAACCAGGCGTTGGAAGCGAGTTGGGAACGACGAGGCTGATATCAAATCTAACCAGATTCCCACCCGCATCACCAAAAGGTTAGAACGTCACATTTGGGTGCCGCGACCGATACCAAGCCAGTTGGTCGTCACAGGACGAGACAACACGACTGACGCGACAGGTGGACGTCACGTCTGGAGCAGCGACACCCGGACGGAGCAGCGAGGAGCGAACAGCTGGCGCCGCGGCGAGGACGTCACAATTGGTGCTGTTTGGGGACGTCACAACTGGCACCGTGGTAGATCAGGATAGAACGTCACAGTTGGCGCTGCGACCGGGGGACGACGTCACATACAAAAGACATCGCTCTAGTCTGATCGTACAGACAGATGCTGAGAGAAAGCACCTATGTCCACACCAGAAATGCCATCTGTCAGCTAGTTTATTCCAAGGAAGAACTAGGTGTAAAACTTCTCGATCTTTCCCTTTCACTGAAGTAGCACTAATAAACTCGCATTTCTTACGAAAACGTAAGGAGTTTTGTTTGCTATTGTAAATGGTGT